AATTTAAAAAAAATTTTAAGCGGTTTTCCCCCCCCCTTTTTGCCCAAAAAGCAAAATGCAATAAAATAAAAATAAAACAAAATTAAAGCTGCAAGCCAGCCAAATTGGGCCGGGAAAACCTTCCAACTACAAACCCCAACCTCCTGGGGCGGGGGGTGCCTTTGCGGCGCGTCCCCAACGGTTGCCCCGTTCGTAAACAAACGTCGGAAAACCAAAAAAACAATGAAAAATTTTTTTCATGAAATTCAAAGAAAAAATTTCCCAAGTTTTGCCCCCCAATGAAATTCGCTTTTTACCTTCCATTGTTTTTTTGCCCAAGTAAAGGTGGGGCGCCTTTTAATCCAACTTAAAAAATAATTCCTTTTTTGAAATAATTTAAAATCACAAAATAGACGTGGGGTTTTTTTTCAAAAAGGGTTGGGACCTCCTTTTTTAATCAAAGACCAAGTTGAAGTTTTGGAAGAAATAACGGACCAATGTTAAAACTTCCAAAAAGTTTTTTATAGCAAACCTTTCGTGTTTTTTTTTTTTTTGGTGGCGGTTTTAAAACAAAATCAAAGTTTTTTTTTTTTCAACCGCCCCCACGCCCCCCAACAGAAACAACGGCCCAAAAACCTCACCAAATATTTCATCAAAAAACATATCTTCAAAAACCAAAAATGTTTGTTTTTTTGCGCATTTTAATAAGTTAAATTTCAAGCTGGATTTCTGATCCACTCCTGCTAGGAGTAGAACATGAAAGTATAAGGACATGATATTTCCTGTTGGCAGCTAACGTGGGGGCGGCTCTCAATTATTACTGAATATTATCATCATAGACATTTCAGGGGCGGGACTCCTCATCAAACATGTGAAGTTTTCGTTTGCAGTCGGACTCATTGTACCGCCAGAAAGTTTATGACAACTTTTGTTTTTCATGGGCGAAGGTTTCCGAAATTTGGATTGCCCACGGAAAGCCAGCGCCCCGCGTCGCACGCTGTTCCAACGGAATGTCGTAAATAGGCGCAACTTTTTTAATCGTAAAATGTCCTTTTAGATGAACTTGTGTCCAAATGTGGATTGATCCGATAAATTGCCCTGCATCCAATGCAACGGCCGAAAATTTGCCAGAAAATGACCAAGCAAAAAATGTACAGTTTTTCTCAATTGTTTTAACCACACAAAATAGCTGGTAACTTGAGACCACCAATGACGCACACATGTAACCTCATGCACCAAACCCCGTTTGATAACTAATTCCTGGGGGCTAAACTACAAGCCACCAACCAAAATCTAAATATGCTATACTGCCTAATAAACATTTCAAACGTGAGTTGTCTGATCGACTGAACTGAAGTTGTGCATTTGAAGTGCATTAGCAAATAGCTTCCAGCATTAGGTCACCTGGCTCATGTTCCTTTGGAGGAAACAATAAAGGTCGGAGCCTAGATGCCAAAATCTAAATATGCTATACTGCTTTAATAAAGATTTCAACGTGAGTTGTCTGACTGAAATGTATTTTAAGCTCTGCTCACATTAACACATCAATATAAATGCTTTTTCAGTGTAATTTTTTAGTTAGAAACAGAATCGTCTCAAGTTGCACACATACATGTACCCCGCTTTAGGCATCTCATTATCTTGAATATTTATCAAAATTTTAAGGCTGTATTAAGGATTAACATACATCTTCAAGCCTATATTTGATACTTAAGTAATGGCTCTCAAAACTTTGAATACAATATCATAAAACCCTACCTAGATTAAAAACAAATAAAAAATGTAAAAAAATTAAAAAACACACCATTTAAAAACAAGTAATAAGTCCACAGTACACTCACACTCCTGTTGTGATAAAGTCCTATTTGATCCTTTTTTTATGTCTAGTTACAAACTTCTGAGGCAAAGCAATGTTCCCTTTTTTTTAAGAACACAGCTTGTTTCACATCTCAATGGAAGTCCCCTCCGTCCTCACATACAGGTATTTAAAGCTCCAGCTGCCATGTTTAGGTGGCTGTGATGTAACTGGTGGGATTTCAAATGTAATTCTGGTGTCGAGGAGGGACCGCTCTCGTAAATGTTTGATGAACGACGAGGCACTCTGCTCGGACCCCCCAGACGTTTCCCAGGCTGCCCGCGGTGGAAAGGGCTTTTTAAAAGAGTCGCCCTTCTCTATCAGGGCCAGGTGGAAGCCCTAGGGTGCACATAAATCAGACGGAGGTTATCATATCCATATAAGTGTGTGCAGTTGTGTCAGAACTCAAACACAAACAGTTGTATCCTGTCTTTCGTACAGTCCTCTTTTTTTCTTCTTCTTTCCTCCACTGGATCTTGTTCCCTGCCTCCACTCATACTCCTCTGGGAGCCAACAGAGTACAGTATTGCTTCTTATTGGACATTTATCCCATTTGGCAGGTGAAGTCGGCCACTTCTCACTCCTGCACAATCTCTCATACTTTCCGCCAGTCATAAACACAACCCCGATATGACTAGGCCCTATTCCATCGCTTATTATCATTTATTTAAGGTCTCAAAGCTGGGGAAAAGCCGGTGGGCGTGCCTTGACAGCGAGGCAGCAGAGCGTGGCGTTTTACCATCTGGGCCACACTGGGATCAGCACAACACAAGTGCCTGAGCTAGATACATCACTAGCCATCAACGGCTTCAAGACACTCGCTGCTTGTCATACAGGACAGGACAGGCGACAGAACGCTCGCCCCGCAGCTAGCATGATAGCAGGAGCCGCTTTGTCTCTCTCTGTCAGCAGATCACAATATGGAGGAAGTCATGCTCCTGCTATTATTGCAGCTTAAAGTGAAGCTCTACACCAGATCTCCCTTTTAAGAATCAAAATCACATTGTATAGACTTGGAGAGGAGACACATGTTCGAGGTTCAAGATAATTTATTTGTCATTGTACGACACAAGGATGCTCAAAGAAATGAAAGTTGTAATTCACAACTCTACGCGCACATAGCACATAACAGATGATTAATTTCAGATAAAAGGACTAATATATAAAATAGATAAAAAATAAAATAAAACAATATATAGTTATTTATATGCATACAGTATATGCATACACAGATACAGCCGGGAAATCATTCTGCAGTGCAGTTTTGAAATTGAATTTGTGTCTTGAGGAATGTAAACAGCAACAACAAGATAGTGATGATAATATCACTTCATCTTAAGACAAACAGTCAAAAATCTAATCAGACATTATTCAGTGAAGTTTCAGCAATAAAGGCAAAGAAAATAACAGATTAAAACAAACATGTAGCGAAGTTTGAAGGAGTTACAGGCCGCTGCATCTACATGCACTGCCGTTGCTATAGCAATAAGTGGTCAGAGGTATGTTAATCGTTGGTTTTGTCAAGATATTTTTTGTTTTGTTTTTGAGTGTTTTTGCATTTATCTAGCAACACTTTATTTTATATTGATCACCTGACATCTGCAGGAAGAACTAGAAGTGTTGACAAGGAAATAATCCTCATAAACATGCCTTCATGAAAACATGCATTATACAAATGCGTGTTTTTATGAATGGGTAATGTGGTAGCTGGGTGTTTTTTTTTGGAGAAAGAAGCTTACAGGAGGAAATATCTGGTTATTTTCTAATTGTCTTTTACTAGTACCCTGACTGTAGGACAGACTTAAAAACCACTTGTGTAATGTAAACAGACATACCAGGATAGACGCAGACGGCACACCTGTAAAATTTTCAATCCAAAATCCAATGCAACAGCTCTGGCCACTTACTTTAACTTTTTTAAGCTGTAGTTGTGGTTGTGTTGTAATGGACTGGATTAAATGCTAAGGGGTTTTCCCATGATTGTGTCCACTGAAAATCTTCTCCTCAGTCTTAACATAATATCATTTTAACAAAGTATAGTTGTACATTTGATTCCTTTATTACCTTTTAATGTGGTGTAAACTACTTTGACCGG